GATACAGAAAGAGAGAGAGAGAGAAAATGAAAAGATACAGAAAGAGAGAAAATGAAAAGATACAGAAAGAGAGAGAGAAAATGAAAAGATACAGAAAGAGAGAGAGAGAAAATGAAAAGATACAGAAAAGAGAGAGAGAAAATGAAAAGATACAGAAAGAGAGAGAGAGAGAAATGAAAAAATACAGAAAAAGAGAGAGAGAGAAAATGAAAAGATACAGAAAGAGAGAGAGAAAATGAAAAGATACAGAAAGAGAGAGAGAGAGAAAATGAAAAGATACAGAAAGAGAGAGAGAGAGAAAATGAAAAGATACAGAAAGAGAGAGAGAGAGAGAAAATGAAAAGATACAGAAAGAGAGAGAGAGAAAATGAAAAGATACAGAAAGAGAGAGAGAGAGAAAATGAAAAGATACAGAAAGAGAGAGAGAGAAAATGAAAAGATACAGAAAGAGAGAGAGAGAGAGAAAATGAAAAGATACAGAAAGAGAGAGAGAGAAAATGAAAAGATACAGAAAGAGAGAGAGAGAAAATGAAAAGATACAGAAAGAGAGAGAGAGAAAATGAAAAGATACAGAAAGAGAGAGAGAGAAGATGAAAAAATACAGAAAGAGAGAGAGAGAGAAAATGAAAAGATACAGAAAGAGAGAGAGAGAGAAAATGAAAAGATACAGAAAGAGAGAGAGAGAGAAAATGAAAAGATACAGAAAGAGAGAGAGAGAGAAATGAAAAGATAGAAAGAGAGAGAGAAATGAAAAGATACAGAAAGAGAGAGAGAGAGAAAATGAAAAGATACAGAAAGAGAGAGAGAGAGAGAAAATGAAAAGATACAGAAAGAGAGAGAGAGAGAAAATGAAAAGATACAGAAAGAGAGAGAGAGAGAAAATGAAAAGATACAGAAAGAGAGAGAGAGAGAAAATGAAAAGATACAGAAAGAGAGAGAGAAAAAATGAAAAGATACAGAAAGAGAGAGAGAGAGAGAAAGAAAAGATACAGAAAGAGAGAGAGAGAGAGAGAAATGAAAAGATACAGAAAGAGAGAGAGAGAGAGAAATGAAAAGATACAGAAAGAGAGAGAGAGAGAAATGAAAAGATACAGAAAAGAGAGAGAGAGAGAGAAAATGAAAAGATACAGAGAGAGAGAGAAAATGAAAAGATACAGAAAGAGAGAGAGAGAGAGAAATGAAAAGATACAGAGAGAGAGAGAGAAAATGAAAAGATACAGAAAGAGAGAGAGAAAAAATGAAAAGATACAGAAAGAGAGAGAGAGAGAGAAAATGAAAAGATACAGAAAGAGAGAGAGAGAGAGAAAATGAAAAGATACAGAAAAAGAGAGAGAGAGAGAGAAATGAAAAGACAGAAAGAGAGAGAGAGAGAGAAATGAAAAGATACAGAAAGAGAGAGAGAGAGAAAATGAAAAGATACAGAGAGAGAGAGAGAGAGAAATGAAAAGATACAGAAAAGAGAGAGAGAGAAAATGAAAAGATACAGAAAGAGAGAGAGAGAGAAAATGAAAAGATACAGAAAGAGAGAGAGAGAGAAATGAAAAAAATACAGAAAAGAGAGAGAGAGAGAAAATGAAAAGATACAGAAAGAGAGAGAGAGAGAAAATGAAAAGATACAGAAAGAGAGAGAGAGAGAAAATGAAAAGATACAGAAGAGAGAGAGAGAAAAATGAAAAAGATACAGAAAAGAGAGAGAGAGAGAAAATGAAAAGATACAGATAGAGAGAGAGAGAGATGAAAAAATACAGAAAGAGAGAGAGAGAAATGAAAAAAATACAGAAAGAGAGAGAGAGAAAATGAAAAAATACAGAAAGAGAGAGAGAGAAAATGAAAAGATACAGAAAGAGAGAGAGAGAAAATGAAAAGATACAGAAAGAGAGAGAGAAAAATGAAAAGATACAGAGAGAGAGAGAGAGAAAATGAAAAGATACAGAAAGAGAGAGAGAGAGAAAAGAAAAAGAAAGAAAGAGAGAGAGAGAAAATGAAAAGATACAGAAAGAGAGAGAGAGAGAAAATGAAAAGATACAGAAAGAGAGAGAGAGAGAAAATGAAAAGATACAGCAAAAGAGAGAGAGAGAGAAATGAAAAGATACAGAAAAAGAGAGAGAGAAATGAAAAGATACAGAAAGAGAGAGAGAGAGAAAAATGAAAAGATACAGAAAAGAGAGAGAGAGAGAAAATGAAAAGATACAGAAAGAGAGAGAGAGAGAAAATGAAAAGATACAGAAAAGAGAGAGAGAGAGAAAATGAAAAGATACAGAAAAGAGAGAGAGAGAGAAAATGAAAAGAGAAAGAAAGAGAGAGAGAGAAAATGAAAAGATACAGAAAGAGAGAGAGAGAAAATGAAAAGATACAGAAAAGAGAGAGAGAGAAGATGAAAAATACAGAAAGAGAGAGAGAGAGAAAATGAAAAGATACAGAAAAGAGAGAGAGAGAGAAAATGAAAAGATACAGAAAAAGAGAGAGAGAGAAAATGAAAAGATACAGAAAAGAGAGAGAGAAAATGAAAAGATACAGAAAAGAGAGAGAGAGAAAATGAAAAGATACAGAAAGAGAGAGAGAGAGAAAATGAAAAGATACAGAAAGAGAGAGAGAGAGATGAAAAAATACAGAAAGAGAGAGAGAGAGAAAATGAAAAAATACAGAAAGAGAGAGAGAGAAAATGAAAAAATACAGAAAGAGAGAGAGAGAAAATGAAAAGATACAGAAAGAGAGAGAGAGAAAATGAAAAAATACAGAAAGAGAGAAAGAGAAAATGAAAAGATACAGAAAGAGAGAAAGAGAAAATGAAAAGATACAGAGAGAGAGAGAGAGAAAATGAATAGATCCAGAAAGAGAGAGAGAGAGAGAGAGAGGAAGAGAGAGGGAGAGATATAAAATGAAATGATAGAAAAAGAAAGAGAGAGAAAGAGAGAGAGAGAGAGAGAGAGAGAGCGTAAAGAGGAGAGACGGAGAAAAAGACAGAAGAAAAACAATGCGTAGTGAGGAAATCGTGACAAAAAAACCAGAAGAGAACATGGAGAGATATAGACATAAATGTAAATTAGAGGAAAAGGAGGAACGAAGGCGAAAATCAAATAAAAGTCTTCATAAAACACAAAGGAGAAAGAAATCTTTAAAAACAAATTGTGCTGCACTCATTGCTAAAATGTCGTCTTCCTAATTTTACCCTTTTACCTCTGTCTGTTCGAACATCGACAATTACCGCCGTCACGAAAAACGAACTCAACAATCTAGTGCATAAAATGCTAAACAAAGCGTGCTCTCGTTATTCACGGCAAAGTGTCTTTCATGATCTCTGAAGCTCATCTGAGAACTAAGTGGATCACATTTGCACTAAAAATATATATATTTGATCTAACGCGGAAAAACCAATTAGTGAAAAAAATTGGAATTAATCAGCAAAAACATTTCAGTAGTCAATAAAAGTAACCTTTATTGTTTTGTCAGTTTAAGCTTTCTTATTAACATTTACATTCGAACTATTGTCTTCATCTTTGTTGTTATCAAAACGTTTCGGCTACTGTACGATCAGGTGTTCTTCAGGTGCCTTAGTACACACTATTCCGAAAATAATGTTAATAATTTTTATTTTCAAAATAGTATTATTACTAACGTTATGTCCATGTCTTTTTTCTTTATTTTTTTTTAAAATCCTTTCCCCTCAAGCAAGGCGGTAATTCCATTAGGACGTAGGGATTAAAGGATTAATTCCATTAGGACGTAGGGATTAAAAGAAATGAGGAGAAAAGGACAATATAGGAACCGGGTTCAGGAAGGTTGTAGATGGCGATTGATGTTGCATTTAAATTTTTGAAGATTGTAAGTGGTAGGAAAGCAAGAATTCAGAAGCGTTTTCCACAGGCGAGGAAATAAACTGTTAGAATAGAATTGACGGATGCATTTAGCTGGTTCGACAGTAAAATTATGAGACCTAATTGCCAATCGAGTAGCACGCTTAAATTCATACAGTCGAAGCACAAATGAGAAAAGCTCATCAGAACAATTGCCATGTGAATATTTTTAGAGAAGACAAAGGGTGGGGAGGTGTTTGAAGTCGGGATACCAGGTCAAGACCTATAACATTGCAGATTCTTCTTTGAATATGAAATATATTTTGCAAAGTTGTTTCAGTTATGCGTATAAGGCCAGGCACGGATAGTAAAATTCTACTGTACATTTATCCCACAAAGCTTAATAAGTTTTATCACCATTATAAATAAGAGTATTTTAATCATTGATAAGAGCGAAATTAGATGAGCAATTTGTCTGTAAAAACTTGATAAGGAAATGTATGTGATATACGACTAAACATATGGAGAGAAAAATACTTTTTTTTGCATTGCGTCCTATCAGCCATGTGTATAAGGATTCTTAATTTTCCATACAACTAACTAAAACGCTTTGTCAAAGATGTGTCCAACTTAAAATGGCTGGTTCGCGTTCCTAAAAAGAAAATTAAAAAAATACACGGAATTTTTTGGTTAGAGTGAATAATTTTTATAGATTAAAATTCATTAGAATATCTTTTACATACATTTGTCAGGATCGAAAAATATTGATTTATTTTTTCATTTTAAAATTGGATGTGGAGTCCTCTTCATAATATAAATAGAATCTCAAAACAATCCCTGACTTATCTATACTTTGGTTTAATTTACAAATGTCAAGTTTGAAATTGAGCTCACGTCATTGATATCTGCGTACTACCGATGTTGCCCTTTTCCCAAATTGATTGATTGGATAGTTTTTTTCATTTTTTTTTACAGCTTAAACTTTTTGCAGGTTATTTAAAGCCAAAAAAATATTTTCAGATTGTAAAGAGTTTAGTGATACAAGTCTTACTAATTAGTCCATAGCTGGGGGAAAAGAGGTGGCTTCATACCTTTTCCAAAGGTATTTTCGGTTAAATGAATATACCGAATACAATGAACCAAACAGGAATTGGAACTCGATTCTCCGATTAACAATTCCAAGACATTATCTATTACACCAACCTTACACCTGGTATTCTTAAACGGTCACCCACCTAGGTACTGACCAGGATTGTCATTGCTTAACTTCGGTGATCGTATGAGAACCGGTGTTTCGAATGTGGCTGTAAGCGCCAGAAATTCATTAGTACGCAAGTATCAATGATGTAAATATAGTTTCGAAATTTACAAGAATTGTTCAAACATATCTTCCATGTTTTTACCAGAACATCAAGAAATTCAAGTAGTGGCAAAAGATGATATTACATGAAGAAAGAATTACAGGATTATAGCTTGAGTACCGCTGCAGTGTTTATGAATTCAATTAACGGCATTACAAACGGTGTCGTTAATGCATAAGAGTTTCATGTACCTTCAGTTGTCTTTTTTGAGAAGACATTACGCAAATATGATCAGCCAGGATGTGAGACGCCTAAACATTACAAGCGTGTAACAGCAACAAAACAGTTACATAAGTCACAGCTGGCTGATGTCGTATATTTATATAACAGATCAATTGCCCGTGTTTTTCTATCCAGCTTGGAATATAAAGGCCACCTATGATACAGCCGTAGATTAGATCATTTAACACATATTTATTTATAGAAATGATGTCTGTCAGATCAAGCAAGTGTGACAGAACAGGAAGAGAGGCAGTATAAGAGCCATGCAAAACAGAAATGTTTAAATACCGTCTGAAACGGTATGCTTGCTAAAGACAGTAAGACGGGGAACTCAGATTTCAAGGTAGCAGTTGTTCTAGGTTTTTCTTAGTTAACAAAAACAAGGGTATGCCAGGGATGTGTGAATTCCTAACAGAGATGTACAATCCCAGAGAAGAGGGCTCCTAGCAAATGACAAATATTGAAACCATCCCGGGAAAACAAGCATTGCATCAAATCACATTCCAATTCCACGATCGTGGTGCTCAGCCCATTATTTCATCGCATCCTGGGTAAGACGTTAAACTACATACGCGTCCTGGGTAAGACGTTAAACTACGTCCAGCTGCAAGGCCTCTGAGCAGGAGGTTTTGAGGAGCGTGGAACCACCTCTTAATTGCTGGTGTTCCCAGGTCCACCCTAACCCGGGGTGGTAGCACCTGTTAGGGTCCCAACTATGAGCAAATAGTTAACTATTACCAGCAATACTTTTTTGAAAAAAAAAATTATTACCAGCAATACAATTTCGAATATATTACCAGAAACAGATTTTTGAAAAAACAAAATATTACCAGCAATAAAATTTTTTGTCAGTATTAAATAACCCATTGAGGTTGATATGCCGTAAAACAAAATAAACCACACCAAACCATTGTTTCATCCAAGATTGAAGTCAATAGGGTTTCATGGTCGTCGACCTATAAAAATACCATAGCTAAAAATGATATCAGTTATTACACATCACCTTGATTATAAAACACAGTCATTGGGCCGTGAAAAATAAAGCTGTTTTGCCACCTGGTCAGAAGATTTCATGGGTCTCGGTTTTGTTTGGTTTGTTTTACGGCATATCAACCACAATGGCTTATTTAATGCCGACAATTTTTATTGTTGGTAATATTTTTTCCTTCAAAAATCTATTTCTGGTAAATTATTTTTCCAAAAATGTATTGCTGGTAATATCTTTTTTTCAAAAATCTATTGCTGATAATAATTTTTACAAAGTATTTTTTGGTATTAAAACTTATTTTTACACTTTCATAGTGTTTTGATCCCAGTTTAAAATTAAAATCAGTTGAGTATGCTCGTGATATTTTGAAAACCCCATTAATTACTTAGTCCTGAGAGGATGCTTCATGGGCCACTACACTCTTAAATTGGTCAAGTCTAGAGTTAACATATGCTACATATCCTCATAAAAGGCACTTCATATCTGCACCCTTTACAACTTAATTCAGTAATGCTCTCACTTGAGTGGCTTTTGGGTCTTGTATTTGGGCAGAAAATGCCACAAAATAGTCATATCCATCAAGCACAACCCACAGCTCTGGAACATATATGGACAGATATGTTCATGCAACTAACCTAAGATTATGTAAACTCCATGCAATGTCGTGTAGCCGCTGTTATTCAAATAAAGATAGTAGCTATACTTTGCTAGTTAGTCATTTCATGTTTTGGCAATTTCATGTATATCGGATAATCGTTTATTTATATATTTAGTTTTCTAGGCAAATGTTTCTTACTTGTACTTTCCGGTAGGTTGCCTTTTTTTCTCTGTTGGGGATGCACTTGGCGCATTCTATGCCCTGTTGACTGGATAAGGGTCTCTATTAGGACACAGAAGCTACCGTATGGCCATATAAGGTGGCTCACGTTCGTATTAGCCGCCACGTCTAGACTAACAGATTGCCAATATAAAAAAGAGAACGTTCTTCATTTAGATAACTATAAACAGATTCTCTCTTGGGTGTTAAGAATTTAAAATTCCATGTAATCTTTATTTTTTATTTATTTATTAATCGCTATCACCCAATGTAAGGTAGTAAAGCCACTAAGGCACAAGGAGTTACAGGGTGTGAATGAATTAGGAACAGAAACATTAATAATAAACGAAAAGAGAAAAGAGTAATCAGGAGACAGTAAACAGCGATTGACATTGCATTCAAATTTTTGCAGATTAAAGTTGGCTGGAAGCACTGAGCCGGAGACTAGTTCCACAAGGGAGGAGTGTGAGAAAAGTGACTGTTAGCAGAGAGAATTGTTTGAATTTGAAAATACAATCATATTTTGATCTCTTGGATGACAATAATACATGGCCTGTAGAACAATGATTTTTATTTTGCAAATCTATGTTGATATTTTTTCATATCTTTAGGATATTTTATTGTTACAAGGACGCTGGCATTAGATAATTAGAATAGCCTTCTCATTTATCGAATCATTACTAACGGGTAGAGCCGGGAAGGTAGATGTTAGCAACCAATCCTCCGTTGCCCATGTGATAAACGCAGGCATCCCCCAAATCTCGCTTTTCGGTCTAACTCTCTTTTGACATTACATGATCTGCCTAAGAATATACTATGTCTATGGCAAGGAACAGGTGTTCTTTCAAGGAGGACCTGTGCATTGGCCGCATTTTCGGACTTAAGTTCACTCTAACCTCGTAGAACTCGTCCATACGATCCATCGCTAAAGATGCTGAAAAAATGATCGGTTCCCTGGACGGCTCCGGTAAATCCCTGGCACCTCCTGCTATCTTTTACCTTTACAAGAGCCAGGTCAGGCCAAAAATGGAGCACTGCTGACATACATGGGCAAGAACTGCCTGCTTTTCACTTTCTAGTTTCTTTGGTTTGTTTTGTTTTACGGCATATCAACCTCAATGTGTTATTTAAGCCGACAAAAATTTTCATCGCTGGTAATATTTTGTTTTGTCAAAAATCTGTTTCTGGTAATATTTTTCCTTGAAAAATGTATTGCTGGTAATAATTTTTTTCCAAAAATGTATTGCTGGTAATAGTTAACTATTTGCCCATAGATGGGACCCTAACAGGTGCTACCACCCCGTGTCAGGGTGGACCTGGGAACACCAGCAATTAAGAGGTGGTTCCACGCTCCTCAAAACCTCCTGCTCAGAGGCCTTGCTGCTGGATATAGTTTATCGTCTTACCGAGGACGGCTTTCTAGTTTAGATATAGTCCAAAACATACACGCAACCTTGTAGGTAATGAATTTTTCCCACCTTACAAAGCTTTTACCACAGACGAAACGTTGCTATCCTGTCACTATTTCCATGGAGAGTGTTCAGACGAATTAAGTTACTTTGTTGCACAAGTTCTAACCTTCGCTGTCATGCCACCCACATTTTAGGGAATGATCATCATTCACTTATGCTATTGGTGAGATTTAAGTTCCACCCTAGCAGCCTTCCTTCCACAAGCCACTACTCTACGGAACAAACTCACAAGAGGATACTTTCCCGATCACTACAATCTTAACCTGTTCAAATCTAGGTTTAACTATTATCTTCCCCGTATATCCTCACAGAATATTTGCCTCTTACTTCATATTCTGCAACCATCTAGCTCGAATGTCTCTTGGGCCTTGAACAGAGACCTCTCAAATTAGAAACTCTAGCTAGTAACCATCACACTATAACTGCAGTTGCTGCGAATGGAGTTTTCTAAGATAAATTATTTAAATGAAAGAGCAAGAATAATGTTTATAATTAATTAAATTTTTCTCTTTGCCCCATGTCAGAGAAATCCTTTGTCAATTATTGACAAGAATATTTATCGATCGATACATAAATCGTTTAAAGATTTAATTAAAGTCTTTAATAAAGAAAGAAAATATTGACAGCAAAGCTTCAAGAGCGGTAGCAGCTGCAGTAAAAAAAGAGAAGCTGCATTAGGTTCGGTCAAGTGTGACGAGTAGCAACATTCATCAGTAGGCAGGTTAGATTTAAGACTCCAAGTCTCCCCTTAGAAATGTCCTACAATAGATTAAAATGATAGCTGTTGAATTTGGCAACATAGAAATTGTGTACGGCAGTAGAAACTTGGTTTTAATGGAAACGAGCAATAACTGAACAGTATCAAATAAGGATAAGACGAGGTTTAGCACTAGACATTGATCACAGAACGAGAACAGGCTATCCAGTAGATTAAATAAAGGGTTCAGTTCGATATTCTCTGAAGGTTACCCGGCGTTCCCACCGGCAGAAACGTTGTGATAGCAACAAAGATAAGGACAATTTTCTGTGTTTAAATAACGTAAGAATCGTTTGTAGTCCAAATTCATAGCATAAGTAATATTAAACAAAAATTCGTAAAAATAGGTAGACCCTTTCGCAAATTAATTGCGACAACGAATAATTCCATTATTATTTACTTTTTACGAATTTTTTCCAATGAAACATGACCCAGTGCACATGTTAGTACTTCGTATATTTGCGTTTATTTTTTAGAAGCTCTTTGATGCGATTTGGCATAGAATCCACTTATTTGGAGCAGTCCTCATTGATTTTGGAGTCACGGTACCACACGTCTATATAAATGGCCGTCGCGAGCTTCTTCCATCGTACAGTCCGTGATCTCTCTGTAAGGCTTGCCAGGGTGTTCGTGCAGCATTGCAGTTTTCGCACGCTTCCTTGGAGTAACGTCCATCGTAGACAATGTCTGTAGGACAA